AATGGGATCAATAGGCTGCGGTCGAGTGTTTAGCATCGATGCCAGCCTCTGGAAGTCTAATTAATAGCAAGGCCCAGAGCCTGATAAGCCTTGCCTTGGGGACACACACACACACACACACACACACAGAGGAATGGCCACTGGAGGAGGGGGTGGGGTGGGGAAAGGGTGACCTGACGTCCTCTTTTCCCAGGACGCGTCCTACATTCCAGCCTTCTGTCCAGGAGGAATCCCCAAAGGTCCTCCATTTGGAGCATGACTAAGAGGCATGAATTTATATGCCTGTTTTTAGCTGTGATGTGGTCATGTCCTGCATTTTCCTAGAATGTCCTACATCCAGGGTGACCAGGCGTCCTCTTTTCCCAGGACCTGTCCTACATTTCAGCCTTCTGTCCAGGAGGAATTACAAAAGATCCTCCATTCTGAATATGAATTTATATTAATAGGAGTGTTTTTATTTGTTTATTTTTATTGCGTAATGTCCTCAATTCTTCTTGAATATCCTACATTTCGCAGTGCCTTGTCCTCCTTTGCGGTTAGGACATCTGGTCACCCTGGGTGCGGGGGGGGGGGGCATGCCCTGTTTTCTCTGGGAAATGAAGGACCCGGGTTCTTCTCTCAATATATATATTGCGCCCAAGAGAGAGAGAGCTGCTTTGAGGATGGCGGAGAAACGGGAGAGATACGGAAAGAGGTTCTAACCAGATGTTCTAACCACAAAGGAGGACAAGGCACCGGAAAATGTAGGACATTCCAGGAAAAAAATGGATTGCATGACCAAATAAAAAGCTAAAAACACTCCTATAAATGTAAAGCCATGCTTCATCAGTCATGCTCAAAATGGAGGACATTTTGACATTCCTCTTGGACAAAAGATTGAAATGTAAGACATGTCCTGCAAAAGGAGGACGTCTGTATGAAATGTCTCCGGGAGTCTTTCACCAGGAGGGCCATGGGGGAGGAGGCGATCTCCAGGGTCTCTCGGAGGATGCGTGGCCTTGTTGTTAACACATGTTCCAATTTGGGGCCGGAGCCTGTCAATTACCCGCTGAGCTGCCAGTCAGCCCTCGGGCGGACGCGGCAGAGGACTGACTCCTTATTAACCTCCTGAGCCTGGCACAGACCCCTCCCTCCCTCCCCTGGACTCTCTCCTCTTGCACACCTTCCTCCTGCGCCGACCTGGCCTGGATCTCTCCCCCTTTCTTTCTTTCTTTCTTTCTTTCTTTTTCTGCTTGCCTGACTGCCTTCCTTCCTTCCTTCCTCTTTCTTTCTTACTTTTTCTTCCTTCCTTCCTTCCTTTTTCTT